TTCTCTCTCTCTCTCTATATATATATAAAGACAAGGAAAGCACATTGCAGTGCAGCTGATAAGGGCACTGTTAATTTTGCTGTTCGAGCCGGATTACTTAATCAGTCCGATTCCTACAAAGCATGGGCTGGATTCGAATAGTAAGGATTACTTTTAATCTTTCAACTTTGAAAGAAGCAATTGTGCATCGAGCCGAATGCTTTTCACGTGCTGTTTGCTATGCAATAATGTATTGTATGATTTAACCTTCCGAGATCCGATTTTATAGTTCATTGCCTTGACGATAATTTTCCTTAGTTTGTCAAGTCTTCCGGCAGCAGAAATGAAAAGAATATTCTACCTCTCACTTTCATTAACATTAGAGCCTCATCCTCCGTTGAAGATAAGGCTATGAGGGGAGAATCATACAAGAAATGGCAAATAACCGAGTCAGGCTTAAGTAATAACCGCAGCAAAAACATCCATGCATCCCTTAGTACGGTTGTGTAGGTTCCTAAAAGTCTTAAATTTAAAGGTTCAAGAATTAGCCTTAATCAATATTAACAGTGCTCATGAGAATAGTAAATTGCTTTTTGAGCATATCCACAAGGATACCCAATGTGAAACAAGGTATAATGTTGTAATAACTTCGATACATACGTCCTCAAAAGGTGTCATAATGCTCCCGATAGTTGGGGGTTCTCAGTTACGCATCTATCACTAGAATGCAATTAATTTGTCAGACTCTTGTAACTTTCATATTAGCTTCGCCAAAATGGAATACAAATATAAAAGGAAAGTTTGCAAAAAGGATGCCAACCCAATATTAGTCGTAATTTGGCAGATAATCTACACAAATATAGTGAATTTTAATAAGTTGCTAATACTATAAACTCTATATTAATAACAAGGTATATATAAAATATATAACGTATAATCTACAGTTTCTAATACAATATAAATATATATTAATACTGCTAACCATAATATGTAGGAAGACCACGTATTATCCCACACGATATTATGTTATATTGATATTACTGTAAGTTGTCACATCACCACATCAGACA